ATGTTCAACAGCTGGTGCTGGTTAAAGAAGAAGCTCCTGGTGAGGACCAGCAGGACCCAGAACACCTCCACATAAAGGAGGAACAGGAGGAACTCTGGACCAGTCTGGAGGGAGAGCAGCTCCATCTGAAGGAGGAGACGGATGCTGCCAGGTTTCCAGTCACTGTAGTTACTATAAAGAGTGAGGATGATGAAGAGAAACCTCTGATCTCACAGCTTCATCAGCAGCAGATAGAAGACAGAGATGTTCCAACCAGCAGCTCAGCTGGTGGAGGAGCAGGAACTAGCAGGAACCCAGGTCTGAACCCTCATGAACAGACATCTGATTCTTCAGAGACTGAAGTTAGTGGAGATGATGAAGACGATGATGATTCGAGTATAGACTCTGAGCTGTCTGACTCTGGGTCTGAAACTGGAGACACAGACTGGAGTGAGAGCAGGTCTTCTGAGTCCGATGTTAACACTGTAAACAAGTCCTTTAGCTGCCCTGAGTGTGGTGAACAGTTTCACCTCAAGAGGTCTCTCCAGAAACAAATGAGAGTGACAAGTCATTCAGAAACGGGGGCTTCAGGCTGTGTTGGAGCCAATCAACATGTAGACTCATGCAAGAAAGTCCAGGAAGAACTAATATCGTTTAGTTGCAACAACTGTGGAAAAAGGTTTTGGGGAAAATCACATTTAAAAAGAATCCATACAGTGCAGAAAACGTTTGCCTGTGAGTTCTGTGGAAAAATATTTAGTCTAAAGACAAATTTAAACAAACACACTAGAGTCCACACAGGACAGAAGCCTTTTGCCTGTGAGCTCTGTGGACAAAGATTTAGTCATAAGATCACTTTAAACAGTCATTTGAGAGTCCACACTGGAGAAACCCCATTTGCCTGTGAGCTCTGTGGACAAAAGTTTAGCCAAAAGACAAATTTAAACAGACACATGAGTGTCCACACAGGACAGAAGCCTTTTGCCTGTGAGTTGTGTGGAAAAAGATTTAGCCAAAAGACAACTTTAAACAGACACACGAGAGTCCACACAGGACAGAAACCTTTCGTCTGTGAGCTCTGTGGTCAAAGATTTAGTCAAAGGTCCAGTTTAAACAGTCACACGAAAGTCCACACGGGACAGAAACCTTTTGCCTGTGAGCTCTGTGGACAAAGATTTAAGCATAAGACATGTTTGACCACTCACATGAGAGTCCACACAGGAGAAAAGCCTTTTGCTTGTGAGATTTGTGGAAAGAAATTTAGTCTTAAGTCAAGTTTAAACAATCACACGAGGGTCCACACAGGACAGAAACCTTTCGTCTGTGAGCTCTGTGGAAAACGATTTAGCCAAAGGTCAAGTTTAAACAATCACATGAGAGTCCACACAGGACAGAAACCTTTTGCCTGTGAGCTCTGTGGACAAAGATTTAAACGCAAGAAACATTTAAACTCTCACATGGAAGTCCACACGGCACAGAAAGAAGTAAGTTAAAGCTGCAATAGCAAATCTGGAAAATGGTTTAAAACATTTTTATGACTCTTAACAGAATCAGCTTTATTGCCAGTGCTCCAGCGTCCCGAAGCACGTAAAATTGACGTTTTACAACAGTGTTCTACCGTAAGACAGCTGTACATATCAGTCCATCCATTCATTTTCAGCCTCTTATCCAGAGTCGGGTTGCGAGGGCAGTAGCCTAAGCAGGGAGGTCCAGACTTCCCTCTCCCCAGCTACTTGGGCCAGCTCCTCTGGGGAAATCCCAAGGTGTTCCCTGACCAGGTGAGAGACATAGTCCCTCCAGAGTTTTTAAAATGAGGCTGAAAACCTACTTTTATGATCTGGCTTTTAATTCTGTGGGTTAGCAATTGTTGATGTTTTATATTTTGTAATTCTTATTTGTGGTTTTAATTATGTCTGTGGCGCTATATGTTTTATTGTTTTATTCTTTTGTTGTACAGCACCTTGGTGGCATGCTCATGCCTGTAAGGTGCTTTATAAATAAAGGCTGATTGATTGATTGATTGATTGATTGATTGATTGATTGATTGATTGATTGATTGATTGATTGATTGATTGATTGATTGATCGATCGATTGAGAATGTCTTAGGTCTCCTCCCGGTTGGACGTGCCCAGAAACCCTCACCAGGGAGGTGTCCAGCAGGCATCCTGACCAGATGCCCGAGCCTACTCAACTGGCTCCTCTCAACGTGGAGGAGCAGCGGGTCTACTCAGAGCCCCTCCCGGATGACCGAGTTTCTCACCCTTTGACTAAAGAAGAGCCCAGCCAACCTGTGGATATAGCTCATTTCGGCCGCTTGTATCCGCGTTCTCGTTCTTTCGGCCACTACCCAAAGCCTATGACCATAGGTGAGGGTAGGAACGTAGATCGACCGGTAAATCGAGAGCTTCGACTTCTGACTCAGCTCTCTCTTCACCACGACAGACCGGTACAACGCCCGCATCACTGCAGACGCAGCACCAATCCGCCTATCGATCTCACTCTCCAGTTTTCCCTCACTCGTGAACAAGACCCCGAGATGGGGCAGGACCTCATCCCTGACCCGGAGAAGGCATTCTACCCTTTTCCGACTCAAGACCATGGTCTCCGTTACGACTGGTTGGTGGAAGATGTGAAGGAATGGTACCAAGAGAGGGACGTGTGCTTACGGTGGTAAAACGTTTTTATTAAACAAAGACAAAAGGACTTTCAATGCGTTCCAAGCAAACACTGAATTATACAGAAGCAAGGCTTTGAGCACTCTTAAGTGGTCACACACTGAGTTCTTAGTGTGATTAACACCTAAATGAACTTTGTGTTGCTGATAACCTTTATAGATGAGTGTCTATTAGTGCTGTTTGGCAGTTTAGTGCAGCTGAATTTAAATGTAATATTTCAGCCCTAAACTGTAATTAAATCTCCATCTTCAGGGTAAAAGGGCTCCACAGCTTATTGCTTCCAGGGTGATGTCCTGCTGAGTTTCACCGCACCTCCACCTGGCTCAACCACTCACTTGACATGTAGGTGCTCAAAACCACTCGCCTCCTTAAGAAAAATGTCCTCCTCCCCTTTTTTCTAATAGAGGTGAAACAGGAAATTCTCCTTCCTGCAGTCACCTCCTGAGCCGTGTCTGCGACTGAGAAACTCAAAAGATTGGCTCTTCCAATCATTGCCTCAGTGCTGCTCCATCAGTCCTCCAGGCCACGCCTTTTCCTGACAGGAAGTGCCCACCCATGCCTTGACTCCCACTTTAAGAATATAGTACATTCATTAGGGCACAAGTAGCTCAACAGGTTGAGCGGGTTGTCCAGTAATCGGAAGGTTGCAGGTTCGATCCCGGCTCCGGACACAGAATTCTGCTGTTGTGTCCTTGGGCAAGACACTTAACCCACCTTGCCTGCTGGTGGTGGTCGCCTCTGTCAGTGAGCCCCAGGGCAGCTGTGGCTACATTGTAGCTCATCGCCGTGAATGTGTGTGAATCATCGACATAAATATACTGGACATCTACTTTCCATAGGCTCCAATAATAAGTTTTTGTGCTAAAATGGGAGGTGGCCACCACCGCCATTTTGACTGTGTCACAGGTTCCGTCCAGCCCAGACAATTCCAAAAAAGGGAAGAGAGGTGGAGCTGAGGGTGGGGCTGTAAGGCTGGGATCGACTGACGACACCCAGTCGAACTAGCTACAAGCTAACCTGAAGCTAACCCAAAGCTAACGCGGAGGTGGGAGCCAAGCTAACGGATGTAGCCACCTAGCTACAACCGGAGCTAACTCTGTGGAACACCCATCGACCGCAAAAATTATTTCCATAATGAAAATATATTTTGCCTTGAGCCAGTTTTCACTATTTATCACGTACCGTATTTTCAGGACTATTAAGTCGCTCCTGAAACGCACCAGCCATTAAATGTATCATGAAGAAGAAAAAAACATATAAAAGTTGTATTTGGGGGGGGGGGGGGATTTTTCTTACAAAATCTGAGACCAAGCATTTCACATTGCAAGACAAGTACCGGTAACAATAACCGAATAATGCGCCGCAGCAGCTCGCCACGGTCTCCAGCAGAGGAAGGCGGTGTTTGAAACCCTCCCAGCGGGACAGGGGAACTCATTCTTGGGTCGGAGTCGGCCCGCAGCAGCGCGGTGTAGCCTACATATTTTGTCATATAAGTCGCTCCGGAGTAGCAGGACCGGCCAGACTATGAAAAAAAGTGCGATTTATAGTCCGGAAAATACGGTAGTTATTAGTATTCGAGCTAAATTAGCAGCCTAAATACATTTCATATATTTCCAAAATGTAATCCTTGTTTGTATCTTGTACAGCCAAGTAGCCTTTATTCTGGACTCAGTACAATTCACCAAAAGTAAAGAGACATTATACAGATGAAGTAAGCACAAGATAACTTACTGGAAGAAACAGAGTTATTATCATGAGAACCAGAACAAGAGAACCTGATAACAGTCATGTGAAAATAACAGTTAAAAAGTATGTATGTGTAATAGAAATAAAAATATATTAGAATTAGTGTAACTCACTGTGATCCAAACAATAAATCAGCCATAGCTGATTAGCCATCATGACATGAGGTCTGGGAGTTTTTAAGTTTCATTTTTTATTACATTTTTTTCTTAGATCTGTTAAAAGGTCACCATGGCAGCCTGTGTGTCTCCAACATCAGCTACACAACGCAGCAAGCGTAAGTACCAAATACCTGTCTTCACCACTTCATGTATGGTTTTGTACTTTAAACAATTAGGACAAACCTGTTATTTTTTCTCCATAGCCATTTGGATCATCGGAGACAGCTGAGTGAGGCGTGGTGCCCAGAGAGCTGCAGAGACCCTCTGACACAACCTTGGCCTCCCTGACGTCCGTGTCTCCTGGTTCGGTTGGGGCGGACAGAGGTGGAAAGACCTTCTCCCCTTCTTTTTCAACTCCATGCATGGAAGAGCAGCTCCTGATCTGCGGTGTGAATCTGGTGAAGATGATGGAGGACCTGCACCGGCTTCACCTTCTACACCCTCAGATCACACTGTTGAGAGCTGTTCTTCCTTCACAACCCAATGTTGCACTCACTCTGCAGCTCTCTGGGCCCCTTTTATTATTTTAAGTATTTTTTAAATGTCCCGACACTTTGTGTCCTGTTATTTTATCAAATGTGACGTAAAAAAATAAATATTTTTGCTCAATTACTGGAATTTCTTTGGTTAAGACAAAAAAGGAAGAATAATTTATGCCAAGTTGTTTCTACAACAGGCCTGTTTTAAGTCCCAACAGTTTCTTAGCAGCCAATAGAAATGTGTTCTTTACTAACTTTATTTGGTTTAAAAATCTTACTAAAATAAACAGAGTGCTGTATTTAAAAACCCAATCATACTTGTTATGTAAACATTAGCTTTGTAGATATTTTTTACAGATAGATATTTGTGTGCTAAAAAAACCACAAACTTCAATAATTTGTCATTCTTTATTGAAAAACAATAAAATACAGGTATACAGAAAGTGTGAGAAAATTGGGCCCAACCCGGAAGCACCGTGGAAAGGCCTCAGTAGAGCCTCGGTCTGTCCTGGAAACTGTTCCGGGATTTTGAGTCTCTGTGTGTGTGTATTCTTGTTTGGATATTATTTGTGCAATTGTTGGACAAAATGACTTGCTGTGGCATTAATTGCATTAATAGAGCGTCCAAGGAGTCTGCACTTCATTTTTTTCTGTAAGTAAAATTATATGTATGTATTTTAGGTCACTGCAGCCTTTAAACTAGCTGAGTTTATCGAAGTAGCTAGCTAACTATCATTCTAACATGTAGCATGTACTGTTTAACCATGAAATTTAGATGTAAAATACGGTAAAATAATTAATAGGGCATATGTCGATGGGTAAAAGGGTAAAACCCAGTGCATTTAACATAAAAATGGGTGTAAATATGACGGAGCTCTTGGAGGGACACTTCTGTGTTCCATTCTTCCACCCGGTTCTCCCCGGCGGTCAGCCCGGTGCCTGTCTGACCGATGCTGCGCCTGTCTGCTGCGCGGGCTGACCGCTCGTGGAGCTCTCAGACTCGGAGAGAGACCTGACCGCAGAAATACAGCAGCTCAATTCCCTTCCTAAATGCAAAGTTTGAGAGACGTGGTTCACTCCATTTAGCTAATATCAGCCTGCACTGCCTTCGGGCTGATTTGTCAAGTTCACAAAATGTGGAACGGGATGTAAGGTTAGAATCAGCGGCGAATCGGAACATATCTCGAAGCCCTGGTCGACGAAATGGTCCACATGACTGTTACTGTCAGGCTCGGGGAAAATTCGGGTTGTTTTTGTGTCAGTCGGTAATTCTGCTAACAGTGACTCTAACGCAGCACTAGTTGACAGACAGCATTACATCGTGAAATCCAGCTTTATACCACAGCGTGACCCGGTTCTGTGAGGAATTCTGTTCAGGAGGTCACATTTCAGGCTCTCCACATCATATGTGACTGACTTTTACGTTATAACAACTATCACACACTAGGAATGTTATAAAGCGCTTATATAGGACAGTGTCTTTTGTATATTATCTGACTTTATAAACCAACAGCAATTCAGTTCAATTCAAGTTTATTTATAAAGCGCCAAGTCACGACCAGAGTCGTCTCAAGGCACTTCACATAATAAACATTCCAATTCAGGTCAGTTCATTAAGCCAATCAGAAATAATGTGTCCTATATGAGGAACCCAGCAAATTGCATCAAGTCACTGACTAGTGTCAGTGACTATACAGCAATCCTCATACTAAGCAAGCATGCAGCGACAGTGGAGAGGAAAACTCCCTTTTAACAGGAAGAAACCTCCAGAGAATCCTGGCTCAGTATAAGCAGCCATCCTCCACGACTCACTGGGGATGGAGAAGACAGAGCACACACACACACACACACACGCACGCACACACACACACACACACACACACACACACACACACACACACACACACACACACACACACACACACACACACACAAGTAATGTGTCTATAGTTATATT